AATTAGTGAACGCGAGCGCGGCGTCCTTTCCGCCCTCTTATTTCGTCCTGGTTTCGAGAAAAACGACACAGTCTGAAGAGCGCCGCGCACTAATGGAATCCTAACAACACAATGAACAGCCCACTTTCGAGGTGGGGCTTACGAGCTCACTCCAGCTGATTACTTTAAAAACAAAAAAGGGAAGAAAATAATTGCAAGTCCAGATGATAATAATAATTATTATACATTAGTCGACATGAGTGCAAAAAATCAGTTTTTTTAAATCACTTAAAAGTGCATTACGCCAATGGTAATTTTTTTTAATTATGAGTTTATTTATTTCAAAATAACGAGGGACTTTTAATCACTTGGAAAAATTCTTTGGAACAATCTGATTGAAACAAACTCTCAAAATTGAGTTGTACTTATTCCAGCAAATTATTTTAATTAAGAAAAAAATACTTCAAGATAAAGTGCATGGATTTTTTTAATCTGAGCGGCTATAAACAAAAAAATGTAGCAAAAAAAACTAGCTTGTTTCAAATAAAAATTAACTTCACCAGCAGGGACTGTTCAACTACATTTGAACCTATAAAGTTGCCTCAATACAAAAAAATCATACCAATAAGATGAATAAATCCGACATAAAATTTCTATTGAAGGAGTTTATAATAAAATTATAATGTCATAAGATTTTATTAATTTATTTTTAACTGCATGTTTTCCTACATTAATTTTAATTTAAATAATATCTCAACCACCTCAGTGCTAACCAGAGCGATGCTCTAGTGACGAATAATGATGACAAACGAGGCATAAAAACTAGAACTTTTCGGCTGCTCGTAATTTTTGAAACCAACTACTGTTTGTTTAGGAACCCCTTCATAACAAACCGCGGTACAAATGTAAAGGTCTCAAGTACTGACAAAAGCGCGCAGAATGTTCGTGAATTATGAGGTGTGCGGCGCGAAATTGCGCTGGGACAATAATTAGCCGCAATTTATATATGTGCGTGTAGGCAAAGTTGGTGCGAACGCAAGTAAATAAGCGAGTTGTTGTTGGCACTCGAATAGCTCCTGCAGCGGAGCATTACACGATTTGCTGCTGCACGTCGACTGAAATTAGTTTTGGCCATCACAAACTGGCAAATGTTGCTAATTAGCGATTGCGCCCCCGCCCCCCAACGTGATTAACGCCAGATCAAAGATGGATGAATCCGTGCAGTGCCACCAACAGTATTAGTTAATGCACGAGAGAGGAGGCTCGGGATCCACTAACACACTCACAATCAAGCCACCGAGCCCTGTAATCAACGCGGGCATCTCCTTCCGCGTCTGTTTGCGAATCAGGGCTGCGTTTGCCAGACTCTACATATTGATTTCTAGCGCCCCAGATCCATAATATCGTTCGAATGCATTTAGCAAACGGAATAAATTAAACCAATATTTGTATTTGGCGTGATTAATATTTAGCCACGAAATCCAGGGTCTGATTTGGATAAAAATTATATCCAGGCCAATTTACTCGTTTTCAACACTAGTATATTTTTGGCTCGTTTCTTTTACCAGTGATTTGAAAGAATCATTAGAGCGAAAAAATACTGCAATTTTTTGGGAAAACAGTGGGAATTTTGTGGAAAATGCGATACTTTATAAAAAAAAAATTAAGTGTGTAATAATTTTAAAAAAATTTGCATTGGTACAGTTATACAAAATTGGAGATTATTAAAAAAAAATCTCCAAAAAGTGACAAATTCAACCAACCTTATAATTGCTTATAATAAAAAATTATGTTGATAAAACAACAAAAGATGTAATTTAAATTTCTCAGCTCTTTGTATCAAAATATATCAAATTTTTATAATGCTTTTACGCTCCAAAATAATTACCAATGTCAATCTGTCCAACCAATTTTTTGTGGTATTTTTTAAATTTTTTTATGTACGCATACAACTGAAAATTGGACAAACTTAGATCAAGGATGAGTACAAATTTTGAAACTCATTTAGCGTACTTAAAGCAGAAATTATCAGTTTTTAACTTCACATGATTCAAAAGTATACAAGTTCATATAGCGATTTTCTGACTCTTTTCTATTGTTAAATAATATTACTTTATTATTAATTCATTTTATTTAACCAGTCTCAAATTAAGAGTTTTGGAATAGAAGCTGACGTGAGCAGTGACAAGAGGATGCAAAAATCAGCACATGCCCAATTTTTGGCGGAGCATCGCCCGACTGAGATTTCTCCACTAACAAGAAGTGCCTGAGTGAAGATGAGAGCCTCTCTCTCTCTCTTTTACTCTTCGCACTCGCGCTCTCAAGCTCGGTCGCTCACCGGCTGCTGTAATCGAGTTAAACGCAGCATTTTATCGAGTTATCGATTGCGAGCGCTGCAAACAGAATTATAATTGGCAATTGCATTAGTCATGCCATACCTGGAGTGCTGTTTGGAAAATGTATTTACCAACCGGGCATGAAAGGGTTGCCTACCTTGAACGTCATTAGCGCCGGGGCGGAAGCGCCCCCGTCAAATAGGCAGGCAAATTAGGTTTGCCTCCCCTCGCGAGCTGCCGGATATTGGCAGGCGAACGTCGCCGCCGCCGCCGACTCTTTTTGCACTTGCAAAATTTCGAAGCGGCACCGGTGAATTTGGAGAAAGCGTGATTGCCACTTCCGACCTGCTGATATCTTATTTGCACCAAACGCGGCGTTCCCACCGGATTTCGTCTCTCTCGGTTTGCTTCTCCGAGATTGAGATTCAATTTTATTGGCAATTCAATAAAATCAGCGAGTGTTGATTATTGGCACCAAAATAAATCAGATTTTTAATAAAATCCAAGCTCAAGAAATTCTAATTCTACCAATTTTGAAAAAAATATATTCCCGAGGCTGCGGAAAAACAACTTTCCTCATCTCTCTGCAAACCTTTAATTTATTTGGAAGAAACGAGGCTGTCACAATTTTTAATGACAGTGGCGCCACCGTCGCGGATGAACCCCCGTTTCGAGAAGACGCACTTTTAATTACACCTCGCAATTACGGTTCCAGATTAAATCCAGCGGCAGAGGAGATTTCGGCGAAGGAAGATGCGTAATGAAGTTTGGCCTGAAATGACAAACAACGCGGGCGGCGGGCAATTTAAACGGGACGAATGCAATTAAAATTACCTCACGCCGTCCAACCGTCCGTCCGTCCGTGCGGTCTGAATTAGAAATTAGCCGGCGAGATTGCCAGTCTGGCTGACAATTACTCTGATGCATGTAATATACCAACATGCATGTAAATAGTGCGCTCGTCCTTGGTGATGTACATCGAGCCAGAGGTAATTGCTTCGCATCTGCAATAAAATTGCCGCAAGATAATCCACTAACGCAGCCATCAATCAAAATCGAGCCGGGACAAATTCCAAGCGGCGGAAGCTTCCGCTTGTTGAAGAGTGAATATTATTTTTAAATTGCATATCGTCAAGCGAGAGGGGAGCAAAAATTGAAGAAAATTGATGAAGCCAAACTGGCGGGCGGAAAAGCACTCGGCGGATGAGCGCGCACCGCCAGCTTAAAACTTTTAAGTGCTTGCAAATAGCTCTGCAATTTGTCTTGATGAGTTTTATTTTCCTTCCCTCGAAGAATGAAAAATATGAAAAAGGTGCAGTTAAAATATGCATAAAACTTTTATTGTGAATTGCGTCACAAGAAGATAATGTTAAATATATTTGAGTCTGACTTAATTACAAAAAATAGGATGTGCCATACATTAGAATATAATTAATTATAATACAAAGATAAATCATCGCAAGCATTTTTTGGACTGTTATATTGATCGATAAAGTCTGAATAAGAAACAATTGATATACAGTCATGAAAACAATTATTAAAATATCTTTTTTAATTTATCAAAAAAAAATTGTAACAAAAGTTACATAAAATCAAAATTTTTGTGTCAATCATAATAAACAATGATTAAATTAATTATTTAATTTAACAAACTTTCAATTTTTAGTAAATGAAAATAATGTATGAAATTTTATTTAAAAAAAATCATTATTATATTTATTGTTGATATTATTTTGGCCAATTTTAGTTTTGAGCAGATTGTAAAAATTTAAGGTTGTTCAAATGTACTAAAAAAAACTTCTATCGGGCTTTAGAAGAGGTGCTCTTCCTTTCTATCATCAAAGTGTTGATATAAAAAAGAGAGCCATTTGATTCCAGTGTAAATTGTGTACTAGGAAGCTGAGCTGCCTCCGGTGCTAATCGTCAGCAGCGAATGTGTCGCAGTGGCGAGGGCGAAATTTGCATGGCGCGCGAGCAGATAGAATTCTTTACGACTCCATCAAAACGCGGGCTGATACGCCATCTGCTTTCTTTATTCAACTGTGCATCAAACGCGCGTTCGCGCGCCTCTTATCACCGAATAAAAGCCGACACTAAAGCCGACCCAATTAAATCTCCAGCCACGTCCCGCAGGCAAAGAACAAATGAGCTCGGCTCTCGCAGATGGCAATTTAAATTAGAATTTCGGAATGTTGATCTGGCCGCGCCGGGACCGTCTCGCTTGCGGGCGCGCCAAAATTTAAGGGTCGAAACTTTCTCCATTATTATGTTATTATTTTCTTTTTCTTTTCCCTGCGTAATATTCTGCTGAAGAAAAATTAATGCTCGGCTTTTGCTCGTAATCAAGTTATATTACCACCGTAAAAAGCGGCGTGTACATGAATGCGCACATAACACCTCATAAATTACCCCTTCAGAAATAATTAAAGCGTAACGAGGCCCGTTTTTGCTTGTTGCTCTGTTGTGCCAACTTTTCTGACACGAACACCAAGATTGTCGCGCCGCACGAAAGCCCACCTGACAGATTAAACGGGGGTGGCTCCATCGGCAGTCGTGCCACCTGCAACGCCACCCATAAATCACAGACAAACTAAGTGCACACTTATTCTGAACGAACGAACCGGGGTCACGCGAACTTGTTGGAAAACACTCGTATACTTGGACGGGCAATCGTGAAAAGCTTACCTTGCTAATTAAAAAAGATCGATCACAGCCGAGCTTTCAAGCCAATCGCTACTCTGCACCTGCAACAGGAAATTGGTCCAAGTGTTAATCGCGTTAAGGTTTATGTTTCAATAAAAATGTATCAATTAATTCCTTAATTGATGCCTATAGGGGTTGGAAAATTATACAATTTTTTTATCAATTACATCAACGCACTAATAATTCTATTCATTGTAATTAAATTTTTATAATATTATAGCTTATCTACATTACAGTTCACCGTGGAATTAGAGTAATCACAACAGATGTAGCAGTAAAAGTTCCTTTCAATATTTGTCTTCATGAAGAGCCAAGCAGCTATATTATATTAAATTCGTTTTTAAGAAATCAATCGATCAAAAATGTAGCATACCAATAAAAAGCCATATAATTTAAAATAAATTTAAAAAATTTTTAATTAATTAAAAAAATATTATTAAAAGCGATTAAAATTTAAAAAAGAGGTTTAATAGAATTTATAAAAGGTATAATTATTATAACAGTATTAATAATATAACTTGAATTAAAATTTAAATTAAATAGTATTTTTGTTTGTTAAGCATTACCAATTTTATTTATGTATAATCTATGAGTAAGATTATTATTAGAAACAATGAAGACCATTCAATTATTATTATGGAATAATCAATTTCTTTTCTATTTAATATTGCCGCAATGTGAACCTTTTGATCTCAATTTCCCCTCTAAATGCGCTGACCAAGGTGGACGGTAAAAGACAATTTCTCACTTCCACAAACATCCCCTGCTCTTACACTTAATTAAAGATCGATTGAAAAAGCGAATGCACTTGGGCGTCAGGCGGCGCCTCGAAAAATCGCTCCAATAAGGAAGGACAAAGTGGTAATAAATGGGCGGCAGGCAGTCTGCGACTATTAGGCCGAAAGAAAAGGCAGGTCCATTAAAGTGGATTGCTCCGGAGTGCGGTCCCGAAGGGTCGATGCAAGCTCTTCACGGGGTAAAAAGAGATCGAGATTTAAGGATGGGACACGCACGCACCGCAGATTTAATCGACGGCTCGGCTCGGGGGACGTGCAAATAATTGGCGCACGCAAATTTCAAGCTGCACGTCTTGAAAAGACGAGCGCGCAGGTCCTTTCTCACTGAACGGCCGACCCGTGTCACCCTGAGATGGCAATCTTGGACCGCTTCTGGGATTTGAGCCGCCCAGAACGGAATCCACGCCTTTTGTCATGCATGGGATCAAATGATGCAAATCTTCGAATGGCTTTCGCGAGAACGTCCTTACGGTCCTTACGGCCGACGATAATTTAACCGTAATAATTCATAATGGCAATAAAATAAGGCTATTCTCAGTCAGAGTTTAGAATAAATTATGTTCATGAAATCTAATATTCCTATTTGGTTCAAATTATTGGATATTTATTTAAGTTAATATAAGAGGCGTTCAATATTTCATTAACTCATCTCATCTATACAATAATAATTTGATTAAATATTAATGTCTTTATTTTTTAAATGCAAATCTGTAGAACAGAAGTAAAAATTTAAAAGATTTTATAAGTGGTGTTTAGAATTTAAAGTCGGCTTTTCCTCGATGGATTTTAGTGAGTTGTTTATTGTTTAAGGAAAAACCATCGCGGAAAAGCCGACTTTAAATTCAAATTACCATGAATCAACCCTCAATCGTGAAATTTTACAAGATTTTTTAAATATTCAATTATCTTCTTAACAATGATCATCATGTTTCTAGTAACAATTCCTCTATGATATGTTATACATAATGTATATTTTTTTTTTATTCAGTTACCTCATAATTTGATACGATAAATAAGGAAAGCAATAATATTCAATATTCAAGCTAAATAAGTTAATTTAAAATATGATTTATGTTTTGTTCTATATTTTAAGGCAAGTAAAATTTAAATATGAGTGCTACAAATGATCGAAATAAAATATCACCAAGATTTCTCATGGAATGATGGGAAGCAAATCCTTTAAATTTTAAATAAAATATCCAACAAACAGCGAAAGGTCTCAGAGAAAAAAATCATTTATATTTAAAGCAAAGATACTTTTCCATTTGGTGAATTTAAGTTTTAAGTACCAGAAAGAGCCCACGTGAAAAAAAAATTACTTCTCCTGCAAAGTTCACTCGTGTGGGCGCTCGGAAAATAATCTGCGGACACAAAAGGAAAAAATCCCCTTCCAGGCGAGCGCAAACAAAGCGCGGTTAGTTTATAGAAAAAAAAGGAATGCCGATTTCCATTTGATCGCGGGTATAGCAGTGGATGGACGCACAGAAGAATGCATCTCTTTTTTTATTTCCAGTCGAGTTGGTGCGAGCGCTGCCGTGTTTTGTTTGACACCGACCTAATTAAAAAAGGCCGATCACAAAAGGGACTCGTCGGGCGAAATGGACTTATATGCGCATATTGACTGGCGAGAGGCGAGGCGCAAAAAGAGTAACATGAAAGTAGCGGTGGTTGAAGTGCACCTATCTGATCAAAGCGGTGAGTGCGGAATTTTTCAAGAGGAAGAGATGATGTTTTAGCTAAAGGACTTTGTAAGCCAGCGTGGAAAATAAACTGGAATAAAGTTGTTTCGTTAAAAAATTTGAGCCATAAAAAGATCAGCCACCTGAAATTTGCATATCATGCACTTTTTTAATACTTCATACTCAGGTAAGCGCGGATATTTTTATAGCTCATAAATAAAGGGGTGCCGTGTATATTTTTTCCTTTTTTTTTTCAAATTTAGTCTTCTAAAGCCAATTAATAGTACTGGTTTGCATTTTTGTTATTTAATATTTCGGGAAAATTTTGTTCAATCCATCGACATATTTTGATATTGATGTGACTGAGAAGGAAAAATTTAAAGTAATCAAATTTTTTTTTTAACAATATTACAAAGATTAATCGATAAAAAAATAAAAAATCCTTAAAATTTTGAAAGTTTAAAAAAATGGAAATTTTAACTTTAAGAATTAAAATGTCAATTAGGTTTAAAATGAAAACAGATCCGGTATCGATAGGGTATGACTGAGTTTCAATTGTAATGTTTGGCAATCATTTTATTTTAGTTCTGCTTAAAACTTTCATCACAGGTGTTTTTTGGAATCTCTCCAACTTCTACCCGAGTTTGTCACCCAATTGACAAAATGCGCGTAAAAAATCGGGGGGTTTGAAATAAAATACGCCAAAATTAAACCTCAAAGACAGGCTCGTTCACTCTGTTGTTTCTTTTTTTCTTTTCTTTTTTGTCACAACGAAAACAAACGCCGTTCAGAAAACAAACGAGACGGCACGTGAGCGCCATCCAAGGAATCGGACGCACCATTTGCGCCTCTCTACTGGCCACCTATTGTCAGGTGAAAGGCGGTTTATCAGTCGCTGGCCACTCGTCCGGCGACAACAATTGGCCTCTCGGCGGGCTAAATTTAGCCCCTAATGCCAGCCTACTAATTAGCAATGCGTCCAAGAATGCTCGACCACACCGATTTTGGAATCCATAATTAGAGTGAACAATTGCCGCAGACTCTCTCTGACGGTGTCATCGCCAAATGTCACTCGCTATTTTTGGAGTCGGCCGCTCTTCAAATTCAATTAGCGCGACGGACGACTCGCGCATTTTTCTCGCCGCCGGCGTCAATTAAGCACGGCTGCGGGAATAAAATATCTATATTTTTTTTTTATTAAAATGTGTATGTGAAAAAAAATGCCTAATTCTTTTTTGCTTGTTCTGAAAAGCGGTTGTAGGTTTTTTTTGCAAATTTCCACCGACAGCTAGGCGGCGGCCGAGGGAAATTAACAAATGATGGTGCGGCGTCAAAACATTTTGTTGGCTTTCCGCCGCCCGCTCGCCGAAGGATGCAATTATCGAACACAAAGCTGCCGAGTGATTAATGGTTCCAGGTGGTGAAAACTTCAGCCTCTCAATAAATTCATCCTTACGCGAGAGAGGAAGCGAGGGCAAATACACCACCTCTCGTGTGAGTGGCATTGCTTGAGCTGGAGAACACCCAAGTTTTGGCAACCGAATCTCAATTAGGTGAACGCAAACTTTGGCCAATATCTGACAATATTGATAGGATCATGGAGTTCAAAAATTTCATTGATGCCATTTATTCTCATTCGGTATATTTGAAGCAAAACTTTATTAAAAATGGGAAGCTTAAATTTATAAAAATAAAAAATAAGATTAACTGGAAATGAAAAAATCGGGCTTTTCCTTCTTGTAAAAATTGTTTTTGGTTGCATTTGCTGGTTTAGGATTTTAATTTTATGTTAAAATGTGGTGTATTTTTAATGTTGATGATTTTATGTATTTTTCTTGCACGTGAAATAAGGTCGCAGACCATGACCGAAACTGGTAGAGCCATTTTTTTGGAATAAAAACAATTTTTTCAAAGACGAAAAGCCCGATTTCTTGATTTCCGTGATCATCTCGAGTGTCAATTTTTTCACACATATCAATAAATGCAAATGAAAATAAATTAAAAACTAATATTAGCGTTACTTTGGAGGAAAAAACTATATAATACGAAATAATTTTCATCAAGAAAAAAATCGGGAATATTCGCAAGACTTTTAATAAATATTGAATGGATAGAGAAAAATTATGAATTCGGAAAATTTTAAGGGATTTATTTCATTAAATGTAAATTTGAATGACAAAATTTTTTTCCCTATTTTGTTTTTAAAAATTTCCCTGTTCAGTGATTGCAATTTTAAGAGTTTTATTTTTTAAGAAACATAAAAACTGTTTGATATTAAAGACAATTTATATCTTGTAAACAAAGATTAAAATTATATTATCATTTAAAACTGTTCTGTTTTTTTTAATGGCTCTTAAAAATAATTGCTGCAGGTTTAATATTATTGAATGGTTTGGGCAAATGATTCGTTTTCTATTTCTAGCTTTTGACCACAATATGTTCTCGCGAGGGTCCCATTGCCGCGAACGAAACAACGCAGAGTTCAATTTTAGCGAAGACATCGGTTGGATGCCGCGCGATTCCATTTGGCAAAAAGACCGTTGTCCCCGCGATCGCCAACTCGTC